CATCAAAATAAAACTGAGTATCGGGTATGGGCACTCCCCTTGGCTTTCGCCAAGCTTGGGGGAGGTGCCCAGGTATCGTATCATCTCCACTATCTTTTGCCTTTACTTTCTTAGTTTGATCCATGGTTATCTTTTGTTATTAGATGAATAAAAGTTTAGTTCGATCATTTCTTTTTGAGTGTTTGCTTAGTGATCAACCCTTGTAATCGTGTGCGAGATGTATAATAAAGTTTAGTTTGAGTTTTGCCTTCTTTACTCTCTTGTTTCAATAAAAAGAAAGGAAATAAATGAAAAAGATCATATGCTAACATTATGGTAAGTGATGACATTACACAAGGAAAAGTGTAGGTAGTAAATTTTATTGTAGATTGACAAACATAGCATTGGTCAATGATGCAACTCATGAAAGAATTAATAAGGGAGGAGAAGATTCACACACAAATACACTATCTTGGAAATCTTTTGTGATTGTGAGCACCCATCAAAATATTATATGCCAAAATTGTTGACGTCGGACAAGAAAGAAAACTTAATGAATTATGTTTGTTCATACTCACATAGAAGTTATATTGTCATAGATCCTTCAACATGTGGTGCTTGCCCCTATCTTTGCTAGCCAAAAACTCCGCACTAAGTAGAGATACTACTTGTGCATCCAGAACCCTTAAACCCAAATCTTGTTTGAGAGTCCACTATACCTACCTATGGATTGAGTAAGATCCTTCAAGTTGTCATCGGTGCAAAAAGGGTAATAAAAATTGCTTCTAAAAGTGTGAGATCATTTAGTACAAGGGAAAGTTGGCATTGTACGAACTTGTGATGGTGGAGAATAAAAGCGATAGACTGCATAATAAATGTTGCCATCACAAGGGGCAATATAATGTGACGTTCTCTTGCACTAAGGGGTTGAGAATACAAACAAAAAGCACATGACAACCTCTGCTTCCCTCTGTGAAGGGCCTATCTTTTACTTTCTTGTATTTACTTTCATGCAAGAGTCAAAGTTTTTCTCTCTATTTCTTTTACTTTTCTCCTTTGGTAGGCATCATGTGGTGAGGAAAGATCTAGGCACATATATCCAGTTGAATATGGTAGCATGAGTTATTATTGTTGACATCACCCTTGAGGTGAATGCGTTGGGAGACGAAACTATAAACCCCTATCTTTCTATGTGTCCGGTTGAAACATTTTGCTCATGTGTACGCGGTGAGTGTTAGCAATCATAGAAGACTAAATGATGGTTGAGTATGTGGACTTGCCTAAAGGCTCCGATACGTGACCCTTCCTGAAAAGAGGATGAATTGTAGTTGCAAAATTGTCTGAGAACATAGTTTGTTGGTTTCCAATAAAGTTTATGCTTTATACTTCGATGTTGTGATGAATGTTCATGAGAAGTCTATGATAAAAGTTCTATGATAAAAGTTTTATGTTAAAGTTTGTTGTTGTTATAATAAGTTACATGATGCTGCTATGTCCATTTTTTGTTTTTATCGACACCTCTCTCTCTAAGCATGGGGACATGTTTTTTGATTTTGGTTTTCGCTTGAGGACAAGCAAGGTCTAAGCTTGGGGGAGTTGATACGTCCATTTTGCATCATGTTTTCCTACTGTTATTTATGTTGTTTTAGTGTATAATAATACTCTTTGGAGTAATTCTAATGCCTTTTCTCTCATAATATGCAAGGTATACACAAAGGGGGAGAATTCTGGCAGCTGGAAATCTGGACCTAAAAAAGCTACGTCAAGCTACCTATTCTACACAACTCCAAATGAGCTGAAACTTCACGAGGATTTTTTATGGAATAAATAAGAATTTTTGGAGTCAATAAGTACCAGAGGGGGCCCACCAGGTGGGCACAACCCACCTTGGCGCGCCAGGGAGCCCAAACGCGCCCTGGTGGGTTATGCTCAGCCAGGCCCACCTCCGGTGCCCCTCTTCTGGTATATAAGTCATTTTGACCTAGAAAACATAAAGAGAGGACTTTCAGGATGAATCACCGCCGTCTCGAGGCGGAACTTGGGCAGGAGCACGTTTGTCCTCCGGTGGAGCGATTCCGCCAAGGAATCTTCCCTCCTGGAGGGGGAAATCATCGTCATCATCATCACCAACAACTCTTCCTTATTGGGGAGGGCTATCTTCATCAACATCTTCAACATCACCAACTCCTCTCGAACCCTAGTTCATATCTTGTGTTCAATCTTGGTACCGGAACTATAGATTGGTGCTTGTGGGTGACTAGTAGTGTTGATTACATCTTGTAGTTGATTACTATATGGTTTATTTGGTGGAAGATTATATGTTCAGATCCATTATGCTATTTAATACCCCTATGATCTTGAGCATGATTATAATTTCTGAGTAGTTACTTTCGTTCTTGAGGTCACGGGAGAAATCATGTTGCAAGTAATCATGTGAACTTGATGTGTGTTCGGTATTTTTATGATATGTATGTTGTGATTCCCTTAGTAATGTCATGTGAACGTCGACTACATGACACTTCACCATATTTGGGCCTAAGGGAATGCATTGTGGAGTAGTTATTAGATGATGGGTTGCGAGAGTGACAGAAGCTTAAACTCCAGTTTATGCGCTATTCCGTAAGGGACCGATTGGATCCAAAAGTTTAATGCTATGGTTAGAATTTATTCTTAATAATTTTCTCATAGTTGCGGATGCTTGCGAGAGGTTAATCATAAGTAGGAGGTTTGTTCAAGTAAGAACAACACCTAAGCACCGGTCCACCCACATATCAAATTATCAAAGTAGCGAACACGAATTAAGCCAACATGATGAAAGTGACTAGATGAAATTCCCGTGTACCCTCAAAAACACTTTGCTTTTCATAAGAGACCGTTTTGGCATATCTTTTGCCTCAAAAGGATTGGGCTACCTTGCTGCCCTTTTGTTACTACTATCGTTACTTGCTCGTTACAAATTATCTTGCTATCAAACTACTCCGCTACTTACAATTTTAGCACTTGCAGACATTACCTTGCTGACAACCACTTGTCATTTCCTTCTGCTCCTCGTTGAGTTCGACACTCTTACTTATCGAAAAGGCTACAATTGACCCCATATACTTGTGGGTCATCACACAACAAGTCTCACCCATGCATAATACTCCGCCAAGTAAATGAACTACTCATGTTGGCATGTCAATGTCATGATGTCCATCTCTAAAACACCTTGCTTTGAGAACACGAGCACACAGACCGTTTGTGACCATGATAATCCTCCAGATTTACTTGGCGAGGATAGCTTGGTCGAAGATCTCGAAATCTCTACAGCCTAGACCACCTTCGTGCTTTCGAGTGCACATTCTATCCCACACCACACCAGTGGACCTTTAGATCACCATTAGTCTCTCCCCACCCGAAGATTGAAGAGATGGGTTTCAGGTTCCCACACATTCTCATGGAGAGATGGAAGCACCTCATAGTATACGTCGGTGTTGCTTACAACATTGACTTAATGAGGACTTCCCTTGCAACCTTTAATAAGCGTTGCCCCTTCCAACCCAAGACCTTCCCTCATGAAATTCCCCAGTTTACAACAATCCTCCTTTGACCTACCAACCACCATCGGTAGGCCAAGGTACTGCTCTGATAGGGCAACTGAGTCAATGCACTTGTTTGAGCTCCTCCTTCTTGCCCTCAATGTAAACCTTTACATAGAATATGGAAGATTTTTGAAGGTTCACCCTCTAACCTGATGCCACTTCATACGTTTGCAGAATGTCCCGAAGCTTCGACATATTAGCCACATATGCCTCCATAAAAATGCTATCGTCCGCGATTGGAGGTGGGTAACATTGGGGCAAGTGCTCCCAAATGACACTTTCTGGATCTCTCGGTCCCCTTGGGGCTGCTAGAGGAGCGCAAAGAAGCCTTCCACGCAGAGATAAAAGGGAAGGGGAAGAGAGGACCCCCTGCTGCAAGCCCCTCAAAGGAATAAAACCGTTAGATAAATCGCAGTTCCACATAAAGGTCACCTTTTCACATTTTGATCGCATGAACACACTATAAGCCACTAGCACATTGTCTATAATAAGTCTCCCTGGCATCAACGCACTTTCTACGACTCAAGCAAGTGATCAAATTGCATAATTTAAATACACCGTATTCTTCTCTCCTTTTTTGCTTAAGGGTCCCCAACAATCTTTGCTTATCAAACATGTGACTAACACATCTTCATATAATTTCATAAACATGGTTAGCACCTTAATAACTTGGCATTTACGGCCAAAACCATTCAGGGGCTACAATTCTTTGAGGAGCACGGTCTCCAAAGCTAGTGAATTTATGGGATGACAAATTTTGCATCTCCATTTTTTTTCAAAGAGATCAAATCAAAAAAGTTAGAAGATCTTATAATAGAGAACGGAGGGAGTAAAAACCAAAAAATAGGATTCATTGCAGTTTTATAGAACCGTCAATCTATTCTTGCATGAGTAGTGCAAAGTCCAATGTTTTCTCATAGGAAAATTCAAGTTAAAATATTTTTATTAGGAAAAAGAGTCTGATTTATTTTTAACTTTTTAATTATTATTATGTGTACAGATTATTCTTTTGAAAATGCGTCATTTTTAGTGGGATTTCTTTTGAACTGATATTTTAGCGGGACTTGGAAAGGGGTCATTTGACCCACGATCAAGTACTAGGATTTTTTTTACTACTATACCCTCCATTAAAGTTATAGTAAATCAGTGATTCTCAAAAAACAAAAGTTATACTGTACTAGATCAGTGACATCTATTTTGGGACGGAGGATTTTTTTGAGTCGATAGAAATATTTTTCTTTTCTTTTTTGAGCAAAGATAGGAATATTTTTCCTTGTCGTACGAAGCTACAATCTGACCCAGTCCTGTTTGCCAAACACCCAGCCCACAACAAGCACACACAAAAGCCCACATTAGGCTGTCGATACAATCCCCACGGCCTTGTTTGGAGAGAGTGAGACTGAGAGAGAGAGAGCGCTGCTCGGGCGGTTCTGGAAGCGGATGGGAAAGAAAGCGAGCCGCCTGCGGCGACGCCGCCAGCCGCCAGCCGGCATCAGCCCCACCACATCGTCGTCGACGTCGCCGCCGCCAGCGCCTGCATCCTCCTCAAGGCATGCACTCTCCCCCTCCTCCTCTTCACCTGAACCCCAGTTTCTCATCGCTTTTTTCCTCGTTCATCTCTCGTGTGCGCGTCGTTTGTCTACTCCGTCGTGCAACTGTGCAATCAATCGTTCTCGTGGGAAGGGAAGAACTCGAATCGCGTCGCCGATGTCCTAGGTTTAGACTTTTCACTCGATTTCGCCGTAAAGGGTTTAAACATACTACTGAGCCTTGGAACCCTAGATGGGATGTGCATGTACGACTAGTAGAATTGGTTGTTGGTTTTAAGAAGAAAATTAGTTCGGGTGTTCGTTCGTACCCCATTATGTGATTTGCAAATGGAAGGAGTACAAAAAGTACCCAAGCTGAAGAACCCGTGAAATTTCAGTGTATCCGTACTGACAGTCGGTATTGGCAGGACATTGCTATTAATAGAGCTATAACCGCAGTTGTTTTATTCAGTGTTTACAGCCAAGCGAAATGTCATAGCGTTTGTCACCATTTCAGTATCATGATCTGAAGATGCAGATGGTTTTCACTGTCACAAAAAGTTTTAACTATAGGGTGGTTTTCCAAAATAAAATTGTTATCTGTGCATGTTATCATCTTAGCCTTGTCATAACCATCTTACAAAAATCAATCGATCAACTTGCTGCTTATTTGTAAGTGTGACTTAATTGACATGTAAGGGACTGGAGAACAACACGTGCTTAATTGCTTATCCATGGTCCAAGCATGCTGTCTGCCTTTTTTTTTCATTTGTTACTGGACTAATCTTTCTAACCTTTCTGCCTTGAATTTGTTGTGTTTTGCAGAGAGTTTGCCATCATGCAAGGCCCGAGCAAATTGTCTGACCCATCTGTCTCTACTCCCCCAGGAGTGTTGGGGCACCAAGGTTGGGCTGACCTCCCAGATAAACTGCTTCACTCCATTGTTCCTCTGTTGGGATCTTTCCTCGACCTTACTGCGTTTGCTAGCACCTGTGGTTCTTGGCGTGCTGCCTTCTCTTCGTACCCATCCAAATCAACCATCTGCACCAAACTCCCGCCTATCCTTGTCCGACCCAATGTATGTGTCCAAGCCCCTCATCTCCCTTCCAGCAATGGTCGTCACAAGCTACGCACATGTAAGGTCATTGATATAGCCAACCAGAACAGAGCCCTTCGCTGCCAGATTCCTCAGGAAACTTTTCAGAGGATGCGTTTTGTTGGCTCTTCCTATGGGCATCTCATCTGCTGCCGCCGAGGAAATTGTCTCATTGTTGATGTGTTCACTGGTGCCGAGGTTTCACCTCCATGTCCCCCATTCAGTGGTGACTGTGAGGAGGACTTCTACTTTGGTGGCACCCTGACAGCTCCCCTTGCATCACCCAATTGCCATCTCCTTGTCAGCAACCGATCCTCACTGTTTGATTGGCCGGTTGGAAGTGACTCTTGGTCTGAACTCAAGCTTTCTGATGCACGGGTAGATCAGATTGTGGAATTAAATGGTCAGTTCATTGCCATGGATTATTCCCAGAGGATCTACATTCTGAAGTTAGCCCCCCAGCTTGGCCTGCAGGAGATAACAACCGAGTGGTGGGACGACATGACTGAATGCCCATATCTAAGACCATGGCTGGTGGTCTGTGGTGATATGCTTCTCATGGTTGACCATTACATGAGCTTATCATTTGGAGCACCAGTCTTGTATAAACCCTACTGCCTTGATATGTCGACCAGACCTGCAAAATGGGTGGAGGTGAAGAAGCTGGACAACTGGGCACTCTTTGTAGGGGGTGATGTGAGGAGCCCGCCATTTTCTTGCTTGACCCCGGAGAAGTGGGGAGGAAGGAGCAACTGCCTGTACTACGCCCATTGCTCTCAGCCTTGGAGCGTACATGGATTAGGTGACGCGGCAGATGCTGTGTGGGATCCTTCCACCGACCCTGATCTTGTGTACAAGAGAAACTGGTACGGCCAGCTGCAGGCCTTCTGGGTGTATCCAAGCATGTTCTGTTCCGATGCTCCAGTAGTGCCGAGTCTCCAAGACTGGGCTGACCTCCCAGATAACCTGCTTCACTCCATTGTTCCTCTGTTGGGATCCTTTCTCGACCTTATTGCGTTTGCTAGCACTTGTCGTTCTTGGCGTGCTGCCTTCTCTTCATACCCATCCAAATCGACATTCTGCACCAAACTCCCGCCTCTCCTCATCCGACCCAATGTCCGTGTCCAAGCCCCTCATCTCCCTTCCAGCAATGGTCGTCACAAGCTACGCACATGTAAGGTCATTGATCTAGCCAACCAGAACATAGCCCTTCGCTGCCAGATTCCTCAAGAAACTTTTCAGAGGATGCGCTTTGCTGGTTCTTCATATGGGCAACTCATCTGCTGCCGCCGAGGAAATTGTCTTATTGTTGATGTGTTCACTGGTGCCGAGGTTTCACCTCCATCTCTCCCATTCAGTGGCGACTGTGAGGAGGAGTTCTACTTTGGTGGCACCCTGACAGCTCCCCTTGCATCACCCAACTGCCATCTCCTTGTTAGCACCCGATCCTCCCTGTTTGATTGGCCGGTTGGAAGTGACTCTTGGTCTGAACTCAAGCTTTCTGATGCAAGGGTAGATCAGATCGTGGAATTCAATGGTCAGCTCATTGCCATGGATTATTTTCAGAGGATCTATATTCTGAAGTTAGCCCCCGAGCTTGGCCTGCAGGAGATAACTACCGAGTGGTGGGACGGCATGACTGAGTGCCCATATCTAAGACCATGGCTGGTGGTTTGTGGTGATATGCTTCTCATGGTTGACCATTACGTGAGCCTATCATTTGGAGCACCTGTCTTGTATAAACCCTACCGCCTTGACATGTCGACCAGACCTGCAAAGTGGGTGGAGGTGAAGAAGCTGGACAACTGGGCACTCTTTGTAGGTGGTGATGTGAGGAGCCCGCCGTTTTCTTGCTTGAGCCCAGAGAAGTGGGGAGGGACGAGCAACCGCCTGTACTACGCCCATTACTCTCAGCCTTGGAGTGTACATGGCTTTGGTGACGCGGCAGATGCTGTGTGGGGTCCTTCCACCGACCCTGATCTTGTGTACAAGAGAAACTGGTACAGCCAGCTTCAAGCCTTCTGGGTGTACCCAAGCATATTCTATTCCGATGGCCAGTGATCGTCGATGGGGCAACTACAGCTTGCTGCTCTACCAGCTTCTTCTCGAAAACTATCACTTCCAACAGAGACTTACGCAGCTGAAAAAAGGTGCTTTTTCATGGTGATAGTCATGCTGAAGCTTCTGCAGTTAGTTTCGTCCTTTAGTTTTAAAACATTCTAGGAGGCGTTTATGGTGGCAATCAGTGCTTACTCCAGCTTTTGCCAGTTAATTTGTCGTTCAGTTTGCTATTTGGTCGTTGCACTGTATGGATATGTACTTGACTACGTATTGCTCATCTGTGCTGGAGTTGACTTGTTAAGCACCATGTTTCTGCATGACGAAGAATGTTCCTGCATGTGCCTGTGCTTTTATTTGCATCTTAATCTCTTTTAATTCGGCAAGTTAATTACAACAAGCAGACTTGCATGGCTGATTTTGCTTGAAGATACATGATGTGTCTCTTGAATTCGTCCAGTCTGTGAAAACAAGGCATTTTTTCTTCAGTTATTGTAACCAGAGTTGCCCTGAAGTGTGTTTTGTTGTGCATGTATGGTTACTGCTGCCTCAGAAGGAAGGTATCACTGTGTATGCTCTGATTGGTTTGTGTGGTTGCTCTTGGGATGTTTGCTATATAGTTTGATCTAGAAAAAAATACTCCCTCCGTCCGAAAATACTTGTCGGAGAAATGCATAAAAATGGATGTATCTAGAACTAAAATACGTCTAGATACATCCATTCATCCGACAAGTATTTCCGAACGGAGGGAGTAGTACTTTTGCTAGCACAGATAAGCTTGTTGTAACCTGGGTGATTGTGTTCTTCGTCCAGTGCTTTGCTGTGTATATGTATTGAAGAACAAACATGGCAGCAATGAACTGTTGGTATCAGTATATCAGTATGATCACTTCACGGTTGATGCACATCTAACATGACAACAAGATGAAAATGATATACAGAGCTGTTGGTGTCAGCGTGAAATATCGTGTCACCGTCCATACTTCGTATGCGCATAGATATCAAGATGCCTGAAATTCAAAACACATTCTCGTTGAAAGAACACTAATTTCTCAGTTTGGTAACCAAAGAAGGCTTCTTCAAACTTCATGTACAAAACAGTAGGGTTCTAACATAACCCAGTTTCTAATGATATATAAGAATCAAAAGGGATATTGATTTTAACAGATGTATTTCTATTGAAAAGATATTTTAGCCTGAACAGGCAGCAGGATCTCCTTGAACGTATGGTGTTTGTTCAACATTGGACTTTGGATTACTCCCTTGCTACAAAAACAAAATTAAGATTCTACATTTACTTCTAGGAATGGTCTTTCATTTTGTAGTAATCAAGTGCCCATGTACAATTCTTCAGTTCCTTTCCGTACACTTGGAATAAAATTTCGGAGGCAGAGGTGAAAATTGCAGTTCCACATATAGGTGCAACAATTGCAATGTTCATATCTTAGGCCTTTTTAAGGAAAATATGTAACCTTTGACTAAAGGAAGATTCAAAACACTTAGGAAGTTCAAAGAATAAAAAGAATATGCAGCACTATAGCTGGTTACTTAAAAAAAGGAGAAAGATTATTATAGCAGGAATTGTTCCAGTTCAATATGGGAAATCATTTCAGCAAGGGATGTGCGTTAATAGAGTGCAATGTATCAAGGATGAAACACTAATTTTGTTGAGTAAATCCATCATTCATCAAGTAAGATGGTACTGTATATACTCAAAAAGAAAAAGATGGTACTGCATAATACATTTTGTAAAAAAGAGGACTGCATGTAGGGCCTTGCAGGATAAGGTGATCTAAGATGGTGCTGCAAAAAACATTTTTTGCCCTCAGCTTAGAAAGAACAACCATGGGAAAAACACTAGAGAGCTGACAAGCATATCTAGCGGGGCAGGCTAGCGGATGCGAGGAACTCCTGCTCCAAGCTATAGCATGCGTTTTGGCTGTTGTGAGATGTTACATGATAAGTTCTCCCGGCTAGGTTCATGGCCATGGACTGGTGGCCTTGCATCTCATACTCAACGGCTGGATCAACTTGGGATGAATTTGTACGATTCATTCGTAATTGCTGCAATGTTGTCTCGACTTCCTTCATTGTAGGCCTTTCCTCACCTTTTAGCCTCAAGCACTTTTCCGCAAGAGAAGCAACCCCGTTGATCTCCTCCTCGTTCGCTTCTTCAAGAACTTGTGCCGCCACTATTTCTTTGGGTTGCCTCGACCTGATCTTCAAGAGGAAGTAGTTACACAAGCTCTCGGCCATTCCCGACTCAGCTGTAAAAACAGGTTTTTTCCTGATAAGAAGTTCTAGGAGTACCACACCAAAACTGTAAACATCACTCTTCTCATTTAGCTGCCCAGTCTGGTAGTATTCTGGATCTAAATAACCGAATGTGCCCTGAACATTTGTAGCAACATGAGTTTGATCAATGGGGACAATTCTTGAAGCACCGAAATCCGAAACTTTTGCTGCATTGTTTGTGTCTAGGAGTATATTAGAGGACTTCACATCACGATGAAATATTGATATTGAGGCTGCAGAGTGGAGATAACATAGAGCACCCGCTGCTTCTGATGCGATCCGTAGGCAGTCATTCCATGTCAAAGAAACCATGTTGCTAGAATCATGATGAAGACTTTCAAACAATGAACCATTGGGAATGAAGTCGTACACTAGTAAGGGGACCTCAGTTTCAAGACAGCACCAAAAAGTTTCACGATATTCCGGTGATTTATCTGAGAGAGAATTGCAACCTCGTTGATAAAATCGCTGATCTCACCTTCCCTGATTATCTGGGATTTTTTTATGGCTACCACATGCTGGTTTGATAAGATCCCTTTGTAGACTGTGCCATGCCCTCCACGTCCAAGGATACGTGCAGGATCAAAGTTATTTGTTGCCCTTTTAAGCTCTTCCAAGGAGAAAATCTTTGTCCTCTCGCTCGCATTTTCATCCCCTGATATCAATTGTTCCAAGAGAAGGCCATTGTTCCTTCGGAAATACTTCCTTCTTAGTTTCTTCTGGACATCTCTTTTCCATCTTTGAACGAGAATTATCGTAGTTAAGCCGAAAAGTAGCATGCCAAGGCCACTGCTTAACCCAATCACAATACCTACATAACGAAACTGATCCATCAATCCTCATATATCCCGAGTATCTTTTGAGGGGATGAACAGAACATGCAGTAGAGATGGGCTCACCTAAGTAGAAATTTTGCTTTCTTACTGGAGTGCACTGCATTTTTGTTATATCATACTCTGTATGATCAGGGCACTTGGTGCAGGTGTAGTTTCCAATAGTGTTCTGGCAATTCCCTTTGCAAAGTTCTGGTGTCCGTTTGCACTCATCAATATCTGTAACCATATCTCTGTCAGGAGATACATAACATTTGTACAAATAATAAACTACAGTTGTAAAGATAAAGAGAAGGGGAGTACCTTCACAACCATCTGGGATGTATGGATTTCCTTCAAAACCGCGCAAGCATGCACACCTGTATCCAACATAACCCTCCATGGAGCTGATGACACCCAGGCAGAAGCTATGGACACTAACACACGCATATCCAGAGGTGTTTTTTTCCGCCTCTTGGCATGTAAGATTAGCGACAGCCCACTGCACAGAGGCTGATTCCAGAGGATTGACATACAGGTTCGGTTCATCAGCTTCTGAAGATTGTAGCATAATGTTAAATGACTCGTCTCCAACACTCGACTCATATTTGATTCCCAGGAGCCCCTCATTGACATTTATGTATGTTACTTCAACGAAGCCATTATTATGCCAGAGAACGGGCGGTGTAGTGTCTGAGCAGTTGAGCTTAAAAGTTTTCCTCGCAGAACAACCTTCTTCTATGCCAAAAGGAAATGGGACACTTATATCTCCACACCGTCGAGAACAATTCGCCTTAAGTGGTCTTGAATCATACTCTATTTCTCAAAAGATATTCAAAATCATCAGATTTGCTAAAGAAGCAAGATAATGTGCTCAAATATGGAAGTCATTTTATCAACATAGCACTGTACAACTGTAAAAGTTATGGTGGAATAATGATATTTTTATCCTTTCTAGCTATTTTTATTGGCCCAACTCCTCAATAGGACTAGTTTATACTCCCTCTGTTCCTAAATATAAGTCTGTTTAGAGATTTCAATGTGGACTACATACGGATGTATGTAGACGAGATTACAGTGTAGATTCACTTGTTTTACTCTGTATGTAGTTCATATTGGAATCTTTAAAAAGACTTATATTTAGGAACGGAGGGAGTAGTTTATACTTGTAATTGTGGTAATAAGATTAAAAATCACCAATACGCAATCAGATGAAAATGCTGGTAGCTCAGTAGATTAATGAGACTAAAGTGAATCTTAAGAATTTAAATGACATCCCACCAAGGCAAGTTTAAAATTTCTGGCACAGAATGGTGCTTGTACATTAACTCAATGACAGCCGTATTATACTTAAATATACATAACAATTCAAGGCATAGAATAATACTCTATCTTTCAAGTGGGATAAAAATACATAGAAAAACTCATAAGTCGCTCTTGTTCTCAACACCACATGCCACACATCTCGGTTCACTCACAAACACCCTAAGATTAGTTTTATTGATCATCAGCCTGTGCGTCTGCATTGGCCAATTCAGATGAACACAAAAGTAGCAGAGGTTTTTAAATAGCATTTATTATACATAGATTTGTCCAAATTAGAAATACTGGAAGAAACTAAGTAGCAATATATGCATTTGAAATATTACCATTATACATCCAATAGTTTTTCATTGCTACCATAGAGTCGGAAGTAGCAATCATATGACCAGTGGGGCCCAACAATAAGCGTAATTAACAAATTTAAGTAAATAATTTAAAACACAGATTTTCTTCTTGTTTTTATAATATGCATGTATTTTTGTGAAATTAATATTAATGATTCTCCCTTTTTTTCATATTTGTTGATCTTATGATTGCCATCCTTTATCTTTGCTAATGTGATCAAATTAGATTTGAACTTCAAACGCAAATGAATGTGTGGCAACCAGAGAACTACATGCGCAGCGTGTTTGTCAATTGGTCATGTTAAGCTGCTAACCTAGCACAAAATAAAAAATATTGTTTACTGAGATGAACCTCTAAATGCTACTAGTAGAAGGCACGTGCTATGCGCGTATTTTTCAAAAAAAAAAATTTGCAAAAAAGTGACTTCATCATTTAATTTGTTAGATTTAGAGAAAGGATTGTCAAGGTGATGCATTTGGAATTCGGTGGATACAAACAACGTCGAGTGCTTTGATTTGTAAAAGCTTAATGCCTTATATTTTAAGACGAAGGGAGTATATGTTCACCCATCGATTTGACAAATGTTAGTTGTTCAGTGAGTCTTTGTTTGCTAGATATTCCAGACCTCCTGTCATTGAGCAATGAAGTTCAAAATAGCCACAGAAGATCCAAAATAGCAGACTTTAATTTGCAGCAGCACGTGTGGTGTGTGGTAGCATTCAGTGCCGTGAGTGTTCCAGAAAGATCGTGGAGTCGTGTTGGCACGTGTTTGTACAGAGCGAATCCAGGAAACATGAACCGTTAGATCACTTGGGTGTGGTACTGATAAACGGTGGATATTCATCTTTTAGAACAAATCAATGGCTCACGGTTGCTCATGAATCTTGATGGATAGCTAGTCTGAATTCAAAAATTTGTGTACTATAGTAGTAGAGAAAATAGAGTCCCAGTAGTGTCGCAGGTAAAAACTAAAATGTGTACATGACTTCAAAATAATGCTGCTTAAGTTGGACTAGACATGTTCCTAAGATTACTCAGTAATTCCTCCATTTCAAGATATAGTGTGTATTTTTTATTCGTTAAGACGAGTTATTTCACCAATAGTTGTCAGTTAATTTGTGGTTTATGTTATGAAAAACCACAAACATAAGTAAATACTTTTTAAATGAATGGGGTGACATCAATTCCATGTCACATGTACCACATATTAAAGCAATTGTTGGTCAAGGCCTTGTAATATAGAGACAGAAGAAGCCTTCTATTTCAAAATAAAGGGGGTACTTAGTGAGATAGTAGATAATAATTTTAACAAATAGTTGGTATTGTTTCTTTGATTATCGTGGACTTAGTTTCATAGAACTATATTTTTTTTTGTTAAAAACAAATCGAAAAGGAGCTTCAAAAGATAAGGTATGATAGAGGAGATTATTACCATGGACAGCTGAGCAGCCACCGGAGATATATGGATTGCCTTCATAACCACTGATGCACCTGCAGATATAACCTTCATCGACAAGAGGAACCGTGCATTCGCTGTGGTGGCTGACACATGCATAGTTGCTATCATCCATGCTCCTGGAGCAGCTCGTTTGGTCGAGGATACTCCATATGATTAAGATATTAATAGTTATGTCGATTGTATCCCACAAGATGTTGAGTCTAGATTGTGTTTTTATCTTACCTGTCTTGTGGGGAACAAATTGAAACTCGAGTGTGTGAACTGTTAATGCAGAATATGTATAAGAACACGACCCAGGGCCATGTCGGTCCTGCCTATAAACTTGCTCCGCAATATCTATGCTGGGGCAGGATACCTTGCAAACCAACTCACGGTTACCAAGGTCTTTACGCACCAAGTACACATCCAAGTTGCAAGCAATGACAGAAAGGGACATTGTCCTGAGAAGGCTAAAAGTTTTCCCTGGAGTCCATGACATGTTGTAGGCATCGAGACCAGATTTCATGGGGATGGTTTTGGAGAAGTTGACAAAAAAAGAGCTGAACTGCAAGTGCTTGCCCCACAAGTTCACTGACATGCCATTGGGGTAAATATCGCCCACAACCTGGGTTGTACTTGTACTACTACCATCGTGCAAGAAGAGTTTAGGGGGATTGGTCGTGTGGTTGCAAATGAGACTGAATTCAGGATTCCTGAAGCAACCAGCTCCTATGCCGAATGGGTAGCTGAAGGTCAAGTGACCGCATCTATTGGCACAGCTGAGAGTCAAATTTGAAGAACCCATGCCTGCGTCCAACCGACCGATCATCAGGCGGTTCAGAGGCTGGGTGGTGCTCCCATCTAAGCTTCTCACAACTGCAGATGCTCGTGCTTCAGCCATCCCTAGCATGGCAAGTATGAGCAAAACAAGCATGCTGTTGAACTGGGTAATTCGCTCGACACCTTGCTCAGCAAGTGAGGTGTGGGAGAATTTGTGGAGAAGTAACTGGCATAGAATACCACAGCTGACGGGCTCTATTATAGGAGGATATCGAAGATGTCAAAATCACTAATGGGCCCATGTACTGTACTGTACTGGTACTTACGGAGGAAGTTTCTCCATTTCTCTTATTAGGACAGGAAGTTTCCTCTATAGTACAAATTTTCTTGTGCGAAGTAACGAGCGTAACTAATCAGAAAAGAAGCAATGGCAGTCACTGGACAGAAACATTCCAACCCATGAAATGGGGCATTGACTCCATTGACCTTGAGCAATGGACTAAAATCAAGTCTTAGATTGCGGCCACTCAATCCAAGCAGGTACCACTCCGTTGGCTCCATTGGGTGGACTGAAAGTCAGTCGTTGATGGAACTGCGTACAATCAATCCAAGCAGGCACATTTATTCATTTTTTGCGGCGGACAAAGATAAGTACTAGAAGCTACAATTTTTGGACTGAAAGTCAGTTGTTGATGGATCTCCGTTTATTTTTCCATCTGAATAATATTGTGTTGTTGTGTAATGTTTCTTTGATTTATTTAGGGGAGTGGCAATTTTTGGTGTGGGCATGCGAAAGTGCAATTTTACGTGTTTCGTGATAAAGATTTCAATCACCTTGCTTCTTTTTCGACACCTACAATGTACTCCCTCCGTTCCTAAATATTTGTCTTTCTAGAGATTTCAACAAGTGACTACACATGGAGCAAAATGAGTGAATCTATGCTCTAAAATATGTCTATATACATCCGTATGTGGTAGCCCATTTGAAATCTCTAAAAATGCAAATATTTAGGAACGGAGGAAGTATACATTAGACAAAAAATACTTCATTGTTCACACGTTCAAAGCTTCATATATTTAGTTAATGCATTTTCCAATTTTCACAGTTCAAACTGGCCATTCACTCACCGGTGCATTCAGACAAAGCTAGTAGTAACAATTTACAAATTCAAATGCCCGAAGAATTACCTTGCTAGGTTGGTTCCATGCTCCTTGCTGCCCACTGCTCGCTGCACTTGCGGTTGACCTGCTCTGCTGCTCATTGCTCAGCTGCAGCTGCAGCTGCCAACGAGCGATTCAATCAGATTAACCGATGTATGGTGTGACTGTAGTGTCATTCATGACCAGTAGGTCGAAAAGAGGGAGAAAACTGAAATCGAAAAGGCTTTACTGATTCGCTCAATCTCCGATGGCCCTGATGTCCTTGTGGCTCTTGCGCGAAACTGTGAGTGTTCCGGCGGCCATACGCCCGGAGCCCCGGACGGCCTGGCGCACCCGTAACACCTCGCGCCGGCGCCACCGCAGCCAACGGACGAGGCGAGTGCAGCTCGCGCGCAGCACCGCACGGAGATCGGACTTCGGAGGGGACGGCCGTCGCGATAGGCGGAAGTCGGTCGGCCGGTCGCTGTTGCATGGTAGGGTTCGCCGGCTCAGCGCCAGCGGCAGGGGGTCAGGACTCGGGGGTGAGGCTGAGGCTGTGGCATCTGTATGGCTGTTTGGTCGTGGGCTGTAATAAACTAAGGCCCACTGAGGCTTTAGAAAAGGCTAAGGCCCAGTGGCTGCAACCCAAGCCCTCGCGACCAAAGCCTCCACCGGCGGCTCGCCACCGAGCCACCCTTCCCCTGCCGGCGACCGCCGCGCAGACCGAGCACCGCCAAAACCCGGAGGCCACAGCTCTCCGCTGAGAGGTTCTCTCCTTTGCCCTCATCCC